TGGATTTCAAACACCTCCAAAATATTTCTCTCATCTTTACTTCCAGTCATCTTCRGCTCTTTTTGGTCTTTCAAGGGAGGCACAACAGGTGGGTATCAAGCTTTAGGTGCTGACTGTTGGTTCAATAAGAAGTTTTTTCCAGGCTCCAAAAAAGCTCCTTTAGTCCCAAATTATGGCAGAGACCAACTGTACAACAACCCCATGCCAAGRTGCCCCTTCTGCCCCTTCCAGAGCAGCCATCAAGCTGCCACCAAGAGATCCTACAGCTACGAGGCCGTACATAACCATTAACGACCAAACCCCACCTCGGGATGCTGAAAACACGATGACGACTCTCCACCCACACAGCTTCTCCCATGCGGTGTGGGYTCCCCGACACGGAGGAGACACCGCGGGGTTGGGACTGTCCAGCTGGTTTGGCACACTCAGGTCTTGTTGTCCCTCGCTGGGAAGAAGAAATGGTTGGCTCAGCACCTTCTTCAGGTGCACAGAAAGATGTTACCCACGCGACARAGCGAGCGCTGCGCAGCGGGGCAGCCCTAAAAATAAAAGACAACAGCCCCAGCCCAAACAATGCAAAGTCGCTTAGCTCATCACATCCAGCTTTACACCATCCAAATAACTCAAACCTCACCCCTCATCTCCAATTCCTCCCACTCCTTGCACTTAAATGACAATCCCAGGCCTGTTTGCACCAATTTTCGTGATGAAGCGACAGGGCCCCTGGCAGAGCKCAAATCCTTTTTTGCTTCTGAGAGCTGGAGGACGACACAATTTTCTACACAGAAGAGGGAAGTTAAGAGTAATCTAAACTGTTAGCCCAAATTATAAGATTATATCCCTACTTACATAAACATGTCAAGGTCCAGCTAGCATAAATATTTACTTTCAAAGTTCATTTTAGCATCCAGCTCGCTACAGGAGATGCCAAATTTGTGAGAAGGCTGCAGAGATATTAAGGTTGTGAGAGGTCTATCCATCTGTTGCCTAAAAATACCTCCCCAAGGCAGTAAAACTTGTGTTGTAGAGATTAASTGGGATTGACAGAAGAGAGAAAATTAAATTAGAGGCAGAAAAGAAGAAGGGCAGTAAATTATGTGCAGTTTACATCCCACCAGCCTGAAACATATGCTCCCATAAACCAAATTTCCACGAGCCTCAGAAGCAGGTATGCCAGATGAAATCCTTCTATTTTATGGCACAAGCAGGACTTTTTGGAAGCTGGTTTTYACCTGCACAAGCTGCACAAATACAAGCTACCGTAGACCCTCATCTGCCCTATCACCCTTGCTGACACAGCCTTCCCCTCTTCCGAGATTAAACGCTCGACTGAGCACCCGTCAGCAGAGCACAGGTGGCTGCTCAGAGCTTGCTGAACACCAGGAGCCCCTGMCAAGGGAAAAAAGCAGGTCTGAGAGGAGCAAATTTAACCCTAGATGGTACATCTGTGGGGCCAAACTCCAAAATGCGCCACCTCAAGGGTCAGAGCAGGAGGTTTTTCCCCTCCTGGCCACGTCTCCTGTGTCAGGTGGAGGTTTGGCTGTTGCAGCAGCTCCCTGCAGTGTAAAACCCCACAACACCAGGGAAAGTTGCCCCCTGAGACCTGCCCCAGTCAGGGTCAGCCCAGTTCCCACAAAAACCACTCTAAGCTCGGGGTAGGAGGTGCAGGAAGCTCCTGGCAAAGGGATGGGCTGAAGATGATCGGATGAAGGTGGAGTGAGGTCCACCCATCACACCTCTTGTTTTGCTGCTCACAGAGTTCCCCACAACTCTACGATGTGAAGACAACGATCAGCTCAGCAAAGGGAACTCCAGATCCATCCAGACCCCCCTCAATCACATTTTCAGATGTTTGGCAGTGTTCAGAGGACAGGGACAGGGCAGCAGGGACTCCTCCACACCACCAAGCACGCCTGTGGCCCTAACAATTTCAGGAAGCATCTTCAAATTCTCCAAACAGAGCCCTCCCAAGAGGAGGAAGCAGATGGAGAAAGTTATTTTCCCCCCTCGCATGACCTGCTTTAATAAATGCACACTCAGTCCTTTTCTGCCTTTTTTACTGAGTTAAGCACGGGCATGGAATTCATGGGAAGTTCGCAGCRTCAGTGATGAAACCTCCTGCTCATGCAAGAAACCAGGGATTTGTGAGTGCCAAGTGCACTCATTAGAGGAGTGGGCTGGTCATTCAGTAACATCCAGCTCCCTGCCAGCTCAACTCAAGCTGGAAAAGCAGGAGAAACAGAGGGTCCAGTTCAGTGGATCTTCATCCAACCCCTTCCACCAGCCACGCACTTCTGCCCATGGCTCCACGACTGCTCCCCAAGAAAAGAAGATAAAAATCTTCCTCTTGTTATGCATTTGTTATCAAGATAACCATTGTACTACTTAAGGATGAAAGACAAAAGTAGATCTTTCTAACGACTCTACCAAATTAAAGCTGAAGGAAGCTCCTGATAGCTCAGCTCTACTAATTCAGACTTTCTTAGATGATTATGATAATTGTCTTCAGGGTAATTTGTTTAAATTTGTGTGTAAACAAAGGGTTTGTACACATCTACAGCCTCACYGAGAGTGTGTCATTTCTGAAAAACGTTTCAGCCATAGTTCAGTCTTTTCATCTTCCCCTCATAGAAAACCAGTTCAAGGCCAAATTATGGCAGTACCTACAGCAGGAGCCAGTGCAGCATCGCAGGCCTCTGCAAATCAAAKGGCCAGTTTTAATATTTCCTAAAGTGGTTCTCAAATGAGAAAAAGCCTTCCCTTTCCCCGTTTTTCTGAATGTCTTTGGGCAGCTGCTCAAGAGGCGTAACTCAGTTTGACGGCACTGGAGGCCACTGGCCCTGTGCCCACACGCACCAGCAGAGGAGCTCTGCTGAGCCTCTCCACCTTAAAACAAGCAATTTCATCCAATTCTGATCCTCATAATCTTATAAAATATCTTACATAGGTTGTTTTTTTGGTTTTTTTTCTTCATTGAACATGTAAATACCCATCAACTTGTACCCATTCACCTTTCTGTTCCAGGAAGGGTTCAGCTAGTCCACCTTTGCTTCCACTTTCCAAGTTYTTTTTTTTTGAGATTTTTTTACAAGAAAATGGGAGCCAAGTGCTTAGAAACTATAAGATCACTAGTTCTGCCTAGCAAAAGGCAGAGAGAAGAGCAAGCCAAGCCTCCCAGGAGTGGGGCAGCTTTCACAGCAACTCATGCCCAGTCATCCACCAGCAGGTCCAGATATTCCTGGTGTATTTGCAAAGCCCATCCCCAAACACACTTCATGCATGRGCTCTCCATCCCCAAACACACATCATGGGCTCTCCATCCCATAATCACCTCACTCACCATGTCCCACCCATGCTCTTCACCTGCCAGTGATCAGCCAGATCTAAACTTTTCCATCAGCTGTTGCATTCATGTTCTTACTATAAATGCTCCTCACCCTAAAAAAAAATCCCAAAACAAAACAACAACAAAGAACCCCAACAAAAACCCTAAACAATCCAACTCTGGTGTTTACTTTCCTATTTCCACCTGTAGCAACCTGAAACAAAGCAACAAACACAGTTTTGCTGTATCACATTATTCCCTGCTAACAATACTTTCCAGTGATGCTTGATAAGTCCTGTTTACCCAAACYAGCATAAGTAGAATAACACATGTCAACCAACTGCTTTTTCATTTAGGACCCTTAGCGCAGAGAAGGGGAAGCAAAACCCTTTTCCCATTCAAATAGCACCTACTCATGCCAGGAACGCCTCAAGTTAAGAAAACTTGGGTAAATAAAAGTTTAAAAGTTCTGACTCTTAGGAGCTGTTTTACTAGGAATTCAACTTTCTGCTTAAATAAGTGAGGTAAGCCCAGCTAGTTATGTTTCTACTTATAGTAGTTTCATATATGGGATATCAAGTATTTTTATTTTTTCCAGATCCGAGAAGATGAAGCTTTCTGCACTGGCCCCTATTCTTGTGGGAATATAAAGAGAAAACCATGCCTCTCCTCTTAATGTATTAGTGCCCCGTAATATACACCAGATGATCAATAAACTGCATAAAAATTAAATCAAACTGACAGTCTTTAAAAAATGGGCTCTAAGCAGAAACAATTGTTTTAAAGACTGTGGTGTCTGGAGTATTAAACTCACGTGCTGTTGTGTTATTAATCTCTTTGTTGGAAGCCAGTTGATTTCCCCTGCCTGTGTCTGTCAATTAAATATTCAGCATCGCAGCCACAATGGAAGGGTTGATGTTTTGGAATGCAAAAAGTTTTTTTGAGACACGCTGTTGACAGTTTCCTTCCATTGCCCCAGCATCTCCAAAAGCCGAGCAGGCAGGCAAACCCAGACCTCTGCAGGGACTGCGAGAGGACTCCAAACTTTTTAAAAGGAATGGGTTTGGCGAGGTGGGAGAAAGACGAGTGGCGGTGAAGCCGCCAGCAGAGCGACACACAGTAACCAGAGCGGCAAGAGTTGCTATTTTTCCATTATTAACCRAAAACACGAGCAGGGCTGACCGTAGAGCGCTGCCTCCACCTGGAGCTGGCCCCGGCGCCGCCGAGGTGCCGCCGACCCAGCTCGGGGAGCGGGGCCCGTGCCGGGGGCACCCCCGGGCGCATCCCCGAGCCCACAGTGCCCCCTGCGCACCGCCGGCAGCGCCCGGGCTGCTCCCCCACCCTCCGGCGCCGCGAACGCGGGGCCAGCGAGGCACAAATCAAGGAGTTTCGCCGCTAATGAGCGGATCGGGGTGCGGGGGTGCCGCGCCCGGCTCTCCCCTCGCCGCCCCCCGCGCTCCCCAGCCCGGCCCGGCCGCTCCCCGGCTCCCCCGCTCGCTGCCCGGCCCGGCTCTCCCGGCGGCCCCGCTCCGCTTTTGTTTGGGAAGCGGCGCGGCCGGGGCACGGCCGAGCTCTGCTCCTCCGCCCGCCGCCAAACTTTCCCAAAAGTTTTTTTCCCGGGGAGCGGAGGGGGTGCGGGAGCGGGGAGAAGGGACGCGGAGTCCGCGGTGCTCACCCATGACGAGGCAGAGGCAGTCGAGGCAGATGAGCAGGGCTTTCTTGCTGCTGCTCTTGGCCGGGTTGTTGTTGAGCGCCGGGCTGCCCCCATTCTTGCTCTCCGGCGGGATCGCCTTGTCGTACTTGTAGCTCTGCATTATCGGGGGCGAGCGCCCG